CGTTTAGACCCACCGCTAAAGCGGGGGAGGGATGGCTTTCCGAGACCCTTCTTGGGGCATTCCGATATTCCACGTCAAGTTCCATGGAGAGCTGAGTGGTCAGAGTCCAGCTTTATGCAGAAGGGGAAACTCAATACCCTTGTAGAGATTTACTGAAATCAAGCCATAATGATAATGATCCAAGCTAGAGGTTCAACAAGCCCTACAGGTGATTCCCAACTTCCGACAGGCTGGGGACTAGACGTGCAGCATCGGCCAGCTCTGGCTGCGTATTCAGACCACCCACAGAGCTTTAAAACCAAGGACCCCAAGCCCTGCACCCCAGGGCAGGTCGCCACCTGCTTGGTCTGGGGGTTATTTGAAAGGGACCTCGGGGATTCTAATGCACATCCCAAGTTGAGAAACAATTGCACTTGTCAGGGCCACTTCATCCAGTCTGGAAGCCACCAAACATATGTGGCTGTTCCAATGGAGGTTAAGTAAATCTTAAAAACAGTTCTTCAGTTGCACTGAAGCTACATTTCAGTGCCCAGCAGTCATGTGTGGCACCTGGCCACAAGCTGGGCAATACAGGCACAGAGCATCTCCATCACCGTGGAAAGTTCTGCTGCACAGCAGTGCTCTAGAAAGCTGCTCCCCAGATAAGTCCTGCTCACTGTACCGCTGTGCATGCACCCGAAAGTCTGGCCCGAGAAATGTGCTGAAAAAGTGTAGTGAATGTTTGCCTCACCAGGGCCTGGGGCCTCATATCCAATGTCTCATTTGCTTCTTGTCAGCCCTACAAAATAGGCCAGATTGGGATTACTGCTCCCAAATGACACATGAGAAGAGACAAGTCCCACAGGAGGACAGTGAGCTGCTTAAGATCCCACAGGTAGCGAGTGGGTAGTGGGACTGAGAATCAAACTAGAAACCTTGGTTTTGAACTCAGAATTCTATATTTCCTCTCGAAGGGCCCTTAGGAATCAAGCAGTCTGAACCTCTCATTGTATGTGATGATGACCAGACAGGGAAAGAGTTTTAAGACACACAGCAAGCTAAAGACAGAACTGGAACTACCAGGCCTGTCTTAGCATCCTGAGCCCAAGAGAAAAAGCATGGAGCGGGGCTGAGCGGAGAGTGTGAGGTTTCAAGCCCCTCGAAGGACCTTATGCTTCTGGGTGGTGCTAAACCATGAGGAAGCAATGAATCTGGTGAGCTTATTTCCCACCCTGTCATTCCCAGATCCAGAGGGGCTCTTTGTCCGTGTGGAAGATTACTACAAGATGGTGCAGCTTCGCACCCATCAGCCAGCCCTGCTTCCCTGCCAGGTGACCAACCCCTGGCCCGGGTGACTCTGCACTGGAAGTCCATCCCCACCCCAAGAAGTGCTGGTGGATGGGACAGACATCTCTCTTCTTTTGGGGGGGCGTTAAAGACAGGGTCTCACTATGTAGTTGAGACTGAGCTGGAACTCGCTGTGTAGGCCGGGCTGATCTCAAACTCACAGCGGTCCTCCTGCCTCAGCCTCCCGAGTGCTGGGATTATGGGCATCTCCTTCCATGTGAAGAAAGCCTTCGCCACCCACCAACCCCGAGCTCCTCTGGCTGGCTTCCTCTTCTGCTTGGCCAGCCTGGGTGGCATGAGACAAATGTCTACCAAGTACGTGCTGATCTACATCAACTGTGCATGGGTCCGGGGCTCTGTGTGGGCAGGGGAGGGGAGAATATGGGGAAACACTGCCTTTGGGACCTCAAATCTGGGGTGTATGAGTTATGGAGCTCTAAACAACCCAACAGGGTTTAACCCTCCATGTCGTCCCGAGCCCCTCAGTGCGCCACAGCAGGCACTTTCCATGCCTCTGTCCTCAGTTGGTCCAACTAGTCCATTCCTTCATCCTGCCCCAAGTCAACCACCCCATCTATCTGTGCTCCCCCAGGGCAGCCATCCTACCATCCACCCATGTGTCTCTATCAGTCAAACCACCTCAACCATTGTTTCACCTTTCTGTCCATTTGACTCAGTTTAACCATGCCACCCGTTCGCGCCCTTCAGCCATCTCTCCGTCCACCACCTGCCCTCAGTTCAAGCACTAGCAATCTCGCTTTTTGTTCATGGCAGACCCAACCTCCTTCCCCATCCAAGCTTCAGCAACATCTGTTCAAGTGGGGGAGAGCTTCGGTGTCACCTGCAGGGCCCTGGGTGAGTCAGAGAGTGCTGTGGGGTCCAGCTGGGAGGACCCCGGGCAGGAGGTAAGCGCAGGGCAGGAGGATGTGTCCACGCAGGTGTGGTGATCACTGGAACGGAACCATTGCTTGACTGGGGGTCTGATGGACTTGGATTCCAGCCCTGACCCTGACACTGCTCTCCTGAGTGACGTGGAGCAAGTCGCCTGCTCTGTCTGGGCCTCAGTATCCCCATATTTAGGTAGAACTACTCAGGTCACTGCCCAAGAATGGAGAATTCGTTCCTTTGTTCACTTATCGGACAATAATTACTGAGCTGCCACCATGTGCCTAGCACTGTGCCAGGGGCTGAGAGAGGTTCAGGCAGGCTACGGGGCTGGTCCAAGACCACAGACCAGGCGGCCTGCAAGCTTATCCCCTAGGCAGGGAGAGGGGAGCGGGGTCGTTGATAAATCGCCAGGCAGGATAATGGAAGAAAACAGGCCTCCATGTTTGGGTCTACTTAAGATAGGGTGGTCAAGGAGTCATGTTCAAGGCACAGCCAGAGTGGCCCCAACTACACAAAGACAGGGTGCAAGCACGTGCCCAGGCCCTGAAGCTCAGAGGATGAGACTGGACTCATTAATGCCGCTTTCCGGGCATGGCGTGGGGCCGGCCTTCCCCAGCTGATGGTAGTGGTGGTGGTGACGCTCTTTCCTCTCCCAGAACCTCAAACCTCCAGAGAGCAGCTGTGCCAAGTGTGCCAGGAACACTGAGGACTTCAGGAATTCTCAAAAGAGCTTCCCGAAGAGCTGGAGTTTGACAGGAGCCCTCAAGTGTGGACTTGTTGAATGGAAGGCTGTGTGGCCACACAGGAGCTGCACACGCGCCTCTCACGGTGAGCTGTGCAGCAGGCCGGGAGCTGAGGGGCCGTGCTGAGGAGCTCACGCCAGTCAGTACGTGCTGCCCCCCTGAACTTAAAATGTGCATGCTCCGTCTTGCCCATCTCCAGGTGGCCCAAGGCAGGACATCGGAGAGCCCTGCCTGAACCTCTGTTCTGCCTGTGCTGACTGACCCAGGCCGGCCCCAGACAGGACGGCACAAAGAAGAAACTCTGGGGCCGCAGGAGGTGACGGAGTGGAGGGCATCACGGCAGAAGAGGAAACTGAGACCCGGGAGGGGGAGGGACAGATGGGAGCCCATCTGCCAAGCATGTCCCTGGCAGTGATCTAACTCTAGAGCACCCTCCTGCGTGCCCCGCCACCCAAAACTGTGTTCTTGGGAAAATACCGCCACTGACGCTCACCCTGCACCTCAGGGAGTGGTGCACACACGCGCGTGAAGGGTCAGGTCTGAGTCCCCGGTCCGTTCACTCAGCATTTCCCAAACACTGTTAATGGGACCCTCACTTCGCCTGCCACGGGGACACACACAGCACCGCCGACCTTCCTTTGGGGCCAGAGGACCACAAACCCACACCGGAAGTGCCGTTCAGAGCAGAGTTCCTGCCAGAGCGCTTCTTCGGCAGGGAAGGGGACCCCGGCCTCTCTCCGAGGACCTGAGAAGCATAAAGGTTTTCACACAGAACTGGCCTTTAAAGAGCTCTGGCACCAAGTGCCACATGTGTGCCCCCTCCCTGAAGGGTTACCTGGTGCCTGAGCCGAGAGGCACCCGGGACAGCTCATGGCAGTTTTCGTGTCGCCCGCAGCGGGCCCGAGCTCCCTGCGTCAGCGAGCGGGCCAAGGTGGTCCACCGAGAGGCTGGGCAGAGCAGCAGACCGAGAGCACCTGGACATGGAGGAGCCAGGGCTGGAGATGCTGGCGTCTACACCTGCAGGGCCGCCAACCTGCGGGGCACAGGCTCTGCTGCCCCCCGCGTCACCTCCCTTAGCTCCTCCTCACTGCCTCCTGGCTGACTGCACTCAGGTGTGGAGCAACAGGCAGGGTGTGCGGATGCCTGTGGGCACCACAGGCTCCCCCAGCACTGTCTCCCCTCTCCCTTGCTGCAGCTCCCTTCGGTCCTGCCTCCACCCCTGCCCGGGTGCACCTCCAAAGCTGGGGAAAAGCTAGGTTCTGGCATCTGAGGAGGGGGCCCAGAAGGGCAGGGAGGGGCCCAGAATTTATTCCTTAAAGATCCTGGTACCTTTCTCTTCTCCCAGGAAAAGCAGACACCAAAGAAATAAGGTATTTCATTTCCTCTTAACGACCATAGGTTGCCTGGCCCTGATAAGGGTCTGACCACAGTTTATTTCCCGCTTGAGTCCACCACAGGCTGCAGGAGGGAAGCCCCTGCTCCCCAGCCCTCCCTCTTTCAGCTAGAAGGGGGCTTTCTAAAGTGCATCCTGAAGCCCGGAGAAGTTTGGCAGATGCTTGATATTTGGCTTCCAGCCAGACAATTACAATGCACACTAGCACATGAAAGGCTGGAGAAATCCCACAGACTGAGGGTCTGTTTTGCTTTGGGAAAAGTCGCATGAAAGATGACATGTCTGCTTCACCCCAGGATGACTTCAGGTGAGCTGGCTCAGGGCTTGTGCCTTTTAGCTCTGGTGAGCTCCATTTACTGCTAAGGAGGGACAGGCACCTGCTTCAAGGGTCTTATGTGGTTGAAGGGAGAGAAGCTGTATGAAAGCACTTTCATGAACAGGCTCCCTGCAGGGAAAGCTTCCTGAGAAGAATCTGAATCCATAGACTGGCTGGGTGGGCCGGCTGAGGTTCATCACTTCAGCCCCCCAGCCCCGTGTGCGTGTGTGCGTGTGTGCGTGTGTGCGTGTGTGTGTGTGTGTGTGTGTGTGTGTGTGTGGCAGGGGTACAGGGGACTGAGCTACAACCTCAGATCTTTTTATTTTGAGACGGTCTTGCTAAGTTGCCCAGGCTGGGTTTGAACTTGCGACCCTCCTGCCTCAGCCTCCCAGAGTGTGGAGATCATAGGCATGCACTCCATGCCTGGATTTTAGCCAGCCCTTTTTTCACTGATGGAGAAGCTAAAGGCCATGTGGGCGCCCGGGCCTGGGGCCTAGGGTGAGGGATGGCAGGAGGAGTGAAGGCAGATGGGGAGAGAGAGTGACCTGGGGTGGTGGGAGGAGAGGGTTACGCCACACATCTGATGACCCCAGCGCCTCGGAGAAGAAAAGGAGCAACAGGCCGGGACCTGACAGCAGGTAGATCCCATTCTGACTCTGGGACCTGCTCCCCACTCTGGCCTTCACACCTGCACAGGGCCGAGGGTCCCTCTCTGCCTGCTGGGGGTCCTCAGACCCCCTGACGTGGTCTCTGGGCCTACGGGGCACTAGGGCCAAGGGACTGGAGCAGTGGCCTGCGGGGCCTTGGCCAGCCGCCCGCCTTCCCCATTGAGTCAGGATGCGTCCAGGCTGGATACGTCTGGCCCCGGCCCCTAACCTGACCACCTCAGGTAGGCCTGTTCTTTGGCACAGCCACACAGCAAGTCAATGCCAGGAACATAACCATCTCAGAGCAGGGGAAACCGGCTGGGACAGACCAGGACAGAACTGCCAGCTGGCAGCAAGGCTGCAAGCTGGGGCTGGGGCTGGCTCCCCTTGGTCAGGTGGCCCTGGGAAAGGCCTCAGTTTCCCTGATTTGGGAGACAGACACGGGAGGGGCAGGGCTCCTCTTGTGTGATCCCAGGGCCCGAAGAGCCCCAGGGCTCTGGGTTGCCCATCTCAGCCCTGCCTTCCTGCCTTCCTCCGGTTCTTCGGAAAGTCTTAGAGGGAGCTGTGTCACATGGCCGGCTAAGCCCCGCCCCTAGGTGGCCAGGAAGGAGACCTCCGTGGGGGTGACAGAGGCCAGGGGGAAGGTGGAGGAGGTGTCAGCCCCAAGGACCCTGTACAGCAGCTCCTCCTTCTCCCGCTGCAGCTGCTGTCGGATGTGCGACTCCTTCTCCAGGGCCTCGCGGGCCAGAAACAGGTCTTCCGAGAGCTGCCTGTGTACAGACAGGATCCAGGGCTGCAGGGACTCACCCTGCCTCCAGGCCACCAGGTGCCTGGGGATCCCCAGCCTGCCCTTGTCTTTGTGCTGCACACGGGGGATTCAGGCTGCTGACTAGCTCAGGTCCTCCAGGCAGAGGACCTGGGGCTGCTCCAGATCCCTGTCCCAGCCCTGGTCATTTGCTGTAGCTGAATTTCAGTCTCCTCTCTTGTAACATGAAGGTGAGGAAATAGGACCCAGCCCTCAGGATCACTGTGGGGAGTCCACAGCGAGGTGCTGCCTGAGGTGCTCTCGCCCACTAAGCCCTCAGAAGCGGCTCCTCCCCGTGGGCCCGCCCAGCCCATTTCCGGTCCCCTCTTCCCCTCTTTCCCAGGAGCCCCTGAGCCAGCAGCTACAGGAGCAGACGGCAACCGCACTTCTGGGCAGAGCAGGTCCACTGGGTTTCCTGCCTCCCGGGGAAAGGGAGGCCGCATTTCCTGGCCAGGCTCTGGCCACCTTCCGCCCACTCCGGCTCTTGGAGACCCTCCCGACCCGAGACCTTGACCACAGGGGTGCAGGCGAGAGGGAGGAGGTGGGCGACAGCTACCTTGACACCACCGCCTGGTTCCGGGCTCGGACGTGCAGGTCCTCATTCTCCTGTTGCAGGGTTGTGATTTTTTCTTCCAACATCAGATTTTTTTCTTTCTGTAACAAACCAGAATGAGCTCAGAAAGCTGCCAGAGTCACACGGCACAACGCCTGCTGTCACTCTCCCCTGGTCCAGGGTGGCCCGGACGCGGATTCATTCCCGACTGATATCGTATTTCACGGGGCACTGAGATAAACCTGCAGTAAAGCTACAGGGTTACAGGGCTGCCACGTTTCAGTTTTGCTATGGGGAAATGTGAAAAAGAACACGGCTACTACCCTTGTGTATCACCACCCGCGGATAGGAGAAAAGGTGTTGCTTTTGGGCTCCAGAAGTCAAAAGGACGCAGTCCAAACAGATAAAATTAAGCTAGTCCATTACGCTTTTCCACAAGAATGGTTCAACAGAATTCACGGGGCAATGTGAGGCGGCGTGAGGCTGTGCACGGGGAGACAGGGCAGCTCCCGAGCAGCACGAGGACCCTCAGCCACCTTCCGTGCCTCCTTTCTCAGCCCCTGCCTGACCCGTGATACCTTCCAGGCCCTCCGATCAGCCAGGCTCCCGGGCCCAGCATGGCCCCTGTTACAGCTGGACGAGTAGCCCATAAAGGCACAGGACCCCACGCCTGGGGCCACCGGCTGGCGCAGACCGGCCATCAGCGACCTGGGCTGCACCAGGCTGGGCCTCCCCGCCACTCTTACAGAGGAAACGCCTGGAAAGCAGAAGACCAGACACTGCGGCCACGGACCACGGTTTCCATGAGGATCAGCCGCTTGTCCAGCTCGTGAATCCGCTCGTTCTTCATCTCGACGACAAAATGCAAGCTCTCCAGCTCCTGCTCCCAGAAGTGGCTGGGGCTCCCGTAGTCCTAGACAGGGACACAGGGGACCGCCTCAGACCGTCAGGTGGACAGGGCGTGGGCTGCGTCCCTTGTCCCCAATCTTTCCCCAGCTCGCTGACTTGGGGAAGACGCCTCCCCGTCTTGGCTCAAGGTCACTGTGGTTCACTGGATCTCCTTTGCCCCTTGAGGTGTGTCCTCGCACTTCCCGGGGGAGGCAGCTCCTTTCACACAGGCCGGGCGCTGTGCCACGCGGCAGGTCTGCTGTTCGCACCCAGATCTCGCTGAATCCAGGGACTGTGTCCTTTACCACCCCATCTGCCCGTCCCAGGCCTTCCTCCCTGCTCAGTGACACATGGGCCCTCCTGCTCCAGCCCCTCCTGAGGGTGAGAGCGTCAGGTCTGAGGCCTGGCCTTTCTCACGGCCCGACCCTGCCCTCCTTGAAGGTTCAAGGAGTCAGACCCCCAGGTGAGCTGCACCGACCTGGATGTGCTTCTTATAGTCTCTGGTCAGAATGGACTCCTCCACCCTCTTCATCCTGGCCTGGAAGGCCTCCAGCCGGGCACCCAGTTCTGCTATGGTGTCCTGGAGAAGGGAGCAGGGGGAGGTGGTCAGTCTGATGATAGAGGTGGGTTACACCCTGTTCTAGAGGAGGAAAGGTTTTGGGTTCTCTCTCTGTGGTCTATGAGTCCACGTTTGGTCGACTTCAGCCACGGCTTGAACCGTCGCAGCCCCACCACATGTTGTCCAGTTCTAAACGGCTTCCTAAGCCCTGGAGGACTTGAGCTTTTCTGGCCTCCTCTCTCACTGCTCCTGCATCCACATTCTCTCCCGCAGCTATCACATCTCTGCTCCAAGTACAACATACATCCTCGGCTCCACACTTTCTCCCTGCGAGAAGCTTTCCCCCTGTTAAACCTTGACCACGACCTCTGGATCAAGTTCAACCCTTTAACACGGATCCCAGCTCCCCGCTTCTGGCCTCACCCACCGCTCCAGTGTCTCCCCTCTCTCTCCCATGCAGTCCACACCTTGGCATCTGGCTTTCCTGCAGTTCCTTGGGTTTCTATATTTGTTCCCTCTTTCCTCCAGGTTTTAGAATAGATGGCTTTATTCTGCTCGGGGCACTCTACCTACCCTTCTTTACTGGAGAATTCTAACCCATCTTTCGGGTTTGCTCTCATTCCCTCTAGGAAACATTCCTTGGGCAGCCCAAGTTCCCGGCTCCGGTGTGCCAGTCTAGTCGTGTGGCAGTGTGCAGTCTCTGATATCCTCCCAACACTCCTTGCAAAAATTGGCCAACCAAGTGCAAATCAAGTCCTCTCGAGCTAATAATGGTCTGGTACACGCAGGGGCTTTGGGACACGTGCAAGGCAGGTACCCCAGCCCCTCTTACCTAGCACTCACCAGTTTTGGCTCCTTTGGGGACCCGTGCTGCTTCTCGGCCAGGCCCCCCTACCCACACAGAGACTGGCACTGCTCAGATGTCTTACCTGAAGGGCAGCTTTGGCCTCCTGGAAGGAGTGGGTAAGGGCTGCTTTCTCCTGTTCACAGGACGCCCGGAGGGCTGTGGGGGAAAGGAGATCTCCATAAGGCAGGTGGTTCCCCCTAAAGTCTCCTGAGAACCCCTCTGGGAGCAGAAGGGGAGGGATGATCACCCGGGGCCTCCAGGGGCCAGGAGCTGGGAGGGGCCTCACTCAGCCTTCTGCTCCTTGGCTGGCTGGGGAGCTGTGTCGGGGATACACCTGGTACTTAGCAAAAGCTCGAGGAATGGCGATAAATTACATCCCTGGAAAAGGCTACACCGGTGAACCCTACCAGGCTGTGGATGCCACTCGCACCTCACAGAGGCCCAAATGCGAAGACCCGGGGGTCTTCTCCAGCTGTCTTCCTCACACTGCACACCATGAAAGCACAGGGCCATCATCAGCTGGGCCAGCAAATCGCAGACGTCAAGCCATTCAGGTCCCACCAGAGTGCAACACTGTGGGAGGGACATCAGCTCTCTGGCCAGGAACCTCCCTGGACTGAAAAGTCCCACCGCCTCGACTGAAGTGGGCTCAGTGCGCTTGTCCTGACTGTCTCAAGGGGTGACCCGAGGATCGCACAAGAGGAGGACACGCAAGGCTTCCAGATGGAGCAGTGCTGGGACTGCTTGTCCTTCCCCAGCCAGTGGCTGTTTATCATCCCACTGTCCCCACAAAGTGCCTTTTGGAAAATTCCAGTCTCGTCTCAACTGAAAGAAGACAGCAAAGAAAGGGCCAGTGGGTGGCCAGGAAGCGAAGCAGAGCAGAGAGGACAAGAGAGTTTAACACAGCTAAAGAAGCCAGTCCCGGCAGTGTAGGTTTGTAAACCCAGCACTCTGAGAGGCTGAGGCAGGAGGATCACAAGTTCTGGCCCAGCCCGGGCAACTTAGTGACTTAGCCAGACCCTGTCTGAAAATAAAAATAAAAAAGGGGTTGGGAATTCTTAGTAACACACACACACACACACACACAGCCGAAGGGCCACGGGCCAGGTGGGTAGTAAGAACACAGAAAAGAACGTACAGTGATATAAATGTGATAGAGATATTGAAAACTATAGCCTTAGCTTAAAAAAGTAATGGACTGAGTTTGTTACTGTGGCTCCAGGGAAGACGGAGGAAGCAACTCATCCAGGTTCCTGAGTACAGCAGCTGCACAATCCAGAGAGAGTGAAAGGAAGTCACTGGAACGTTTGTCCGGAAAGTAAATGGTTGCAGCAGACTGGGCAAGAAGACAAAGTCTTAGCAAATAAACAGGAGCTACTGAGAAGAACCAAAAGGAAAGTGGAGAAGTAAAAGTTAACACATGAAATAAAAAACTCACTAAGTAGAATCAACAACTGGATGGGGGTGATATAAAAAGACACTGAGCTTAAAGGTAGATAAATGGAAATGATGCATTCTGAACGACATAGATGGAAAAAATGGGGGAAACGAACAGTGAACAGACCTTAGGGACCTGCAAGCCAGTCCTAAAATGTTTAACATCAAAGAAGGGGAGAAAGCGCATTTCAGGAAGATGATGATTTACCAGGGATCGAACTCAGGACTTTGTGCATGGGAGGCAGGTGGCAGCCTCACCGCGCTAAATCCCGGCCCTCAGAAGGATTACCGAATGAAGCCAATTTGGCAAAATGTGAAGTTAGAGATGAAAGAAGTTCATTAGACTCCAAGTAAACCTAGTGAAATCCACATTCAGACATGTCATTTCTGTCTGAAAACTTATGACAAAGAAAAAACCCTGGACTGGAACTGGGAACTAATGGTATGTTATTTATGGGGAACATCAGACACATTGGAAACTAGAAGTAAAAATAGAAATTTTAAATTGCTAAAAAACAGAAACAAAAACTATAAACCCAGAAGCCTATCTGAAAACATCCTCCAGGAAAGAAGGTGGAATAAAGACATTCTCCTAGTAGCCCTGCCGGGGATTTAGCTCAGTTGTTCCGCCGCCTCCTAGCAGCCCTAATCTAAAAGAATGGCTAAAGAAAAATTTTCAGATAATACCAGAGGGAAACTGGGAACTTCAGGAATGTAAGAAGGGTAACACAACTGGCAAAAATACCCGGGTGAAGGCCACAGATTCTCACTCTTCTTTAACCCTTTAAAAACATGACTAATGATTAAAAGCAAAAATGATGACGTTGACCGATGGAGTATTTGAATATATATAGGTGTAATACACAAGAGGAATAAAGTAGTCCCATCCTACCCTGATTTCATTTCCCTTGGTTTCCATTACTTATAGTCAACCACAGTTCAAAAATAGTACAAAACACAGTGTACATAGGATTTGGTGTATCTGTTTGGCATCTGTTGGGATCTTAAAATGTGTCTTCTATGGATAAGCGGGTGCTACTGTGAAACAAAAAGGGAGAGGGCAGAGAAACCTATACGATGGTAAAATATCAATCCTAAGTTGACTATTAAGTAAATATACTGCAATTCTTAGAATAATCACTTTAAAATACTATACAAAGTGACAGAGTAAGAAGGATGACATAAATTGATATGGGATATTGTACTAAATGATGTGACATACTTTAAAGGACAGGGGAAATAGTGGATAAAAAATGGGGAAAACAAACAGAAAACAAATATTAAAATGGAAGACCTAGAGCCAAGCATTAAATGTTCTAAACACACCAAAGAGAAGATAGATTAGGTCAGAATGGGTAATACATTGTCTAGTATGTTGTCTCAGGAAGCATTTCATTACTGTGACAAAAATATTTGAGATAATCAACGTAAAAGGAGGAAAACGTTACTGTGGCTTGTGGTTTCAGAAGTTTCAGTCCATGGTCACTTTGTCCTGTTGCTTTGTGCTTAACTCAGGATAGTATATCGTGTAGGAAGAGGCCTGTTGATCTCAGGGTGTTGAGATGCAAAGAGAAAGACGTGGGGCCACACTCCCAGTGACCTCACTGCCCCCAGGCGGCTACACCTCCTAATGGCCCCATTACCTTCAAATAATTCCATGGGCTGGGACCAACACCTCAGTGCATGGTCTTTGGAGGACATTCATTATGTACACTCACCTCATGTAAATGTGATAGGTGGGTTAACAGTGAAAGAGTAGGAAGATACCCCTTATTAGTAAAGCTATAGTTACTTTATTAAAACAAAGAAATAAAAGAAGAAACAGACACATATACAAATTAGAAGTACAGTCTTCAACACTGTACAGTATTCAGTAGAAAACACAGAATATCAGCAAGGATATGAAACTGAACACCACCATCACCCAAACCTGATATAGGTGATTGACCTGTAAAGCATTCAGCCTAACAAGAACATAAATACACATTCTTTTCAAGTGCTCACAACACAGTCACAAAACACTATATCCTGGATCATAAAACAAACTTTAGCAATTTATAAAGGAGCGAAATAAAACTAGTTCTCTGGCTGTACTGGAATAAAAATGGAAATCAGTAACAGAAAGAGGGGAGAAATCTCCAAACTTGGAAACACAATTCTAAATAGTGGGTCAAAGAGCAAGCTAGAAATATGTGGTGAACTGGACAAAAATACAAAATATCAATCGTGGGGTGTAGATAAAGCAGTATCAGTGAGGGAAATGTATAGTATTAAATGCTTATACTAGTAAAGTCTCAAATCAATAATGGAAGACTTTATCTTAAGAAACAATAAAAGGAAGAGCTAACTAAACATAAGCAAACAAATAGAAGAAATAAAATAGGTATCAATGAGATTGAAAATGGGCAGATAGAAAAAAAACTAATGGAACTAAAAGTTTGCTTCTTTGAAAGGATCAGTAAAAACAAAAGCCTCATGCTTTGTCACCTGGGTTTGAGCAGGGTTCACAGAGATGTCGCCACAGGTACAATAAAAGAAAAATAAATAAATTTGACTTTATGAAAATTAAATGTTTTGTCTTCTGAAAGATATTATTTCACCAGGTGTGGGGACCCATGCCTGTAATACCCAGAATCTGGGAAGCTGAGGCAGGGAGATTAAAATATTGAGCCCAGCCTGGGAAACTTGGTGACCCAGAAAGACGCTGCTTCAAAATAAAAAGTAAAACATTCTGAGGATGAAGCTCAGTATGAAAGCCGGGGTTCCTTGCTCGGCACAGCAAAAGTAATAAAGGAAAGAAAGCAGACATTATTATGAGAAGGTCAAAGCCACTATACTAGGAGAAAGTATTTGTGAATACAGAGGATTTGTATTCAAAATATGTAGAGATCTCTCAAAGCTCAGCAGTAAGAAGAACAAATGAACTAACTAAAATGGGCAAAGACGTGGACAGACATGTGACCAAGGAGGATATAAGAACAGCAAATATGGGGCGAAAAGATGTCCAACATCAGCGTCATTATTAAAACGCAAACTAAGCCCCGGGGGAGGCACCGCGCCCGCAGCAGAACAGCCCAAACTACGCGACAGCTGCGGGGACAGCTGCAAGGGGTCGCTCTGGACAGCAGAGGGGCCCATCCTCACTGCGCTCCAGGGGCGTTTGCGACCCGGCCAGAGGCCTGAGGTCCACACCGAAACCCGCTCAGGAGCGACAGAACAGCTCTGTCCACAGTCACGGCCCTGGGAGCCACCCAGACGCCGGCAGCAAGCAGGAGCCCACGGGACGGCGCTCAGGGAACGGCTCAGGGGCTGCACACCGAGGGTCGAGGGTCGTGTTGGGTCACTCAGCCACACGACAGCTCGTAATCACAGAGGACAGGCCAGGGGCACGGAAGTGCGGCGAGGAGAACACAGAGGGGCAGAGGCCCCGGCGGGGCGGAAGGCACTTTGCATCCCGAGGGTGGAGACACAGATCCAACGTGTTAGGATCGCTTTTTCCCCAGAACTGGGGGTCAAACCCTGGACTGCCTTCTGTGCGTGCGGGCACTGCTCTACCACTGAGCTATCGCCCAAGCCTTTTCGATTTTTCTCTTTTGAAATTTTGAGACAAGGTCTCACTAAGATGTCCTGCCAGGCCTTGAACCTGTGGCCCTCGGGGCTCACCTTCCCAAATTGCTGAGATCACAGCTGTGCGCCACGGTGCCTGGCTGCCTGTTAGAATTTATGCAACTGTACACGCAGGCGCGTGCACTCGCGTATACATATACAATTTAAAATGAAAAAAAAAAAACAAAAACAGAAGGTAAAAGACAAGAAAGGACCACGGTGTGTGGAAAGCCACCACTCGGCCTTCCCAGTTACCTCCACAAATAAATGAAATCTCACGTATTCCCCCTAAGCTATGTACTTCTGCATTCACTTAATATATACTTAGGAACACGTGAGCAGTGCCAATTTGGAAATAACGATACAGGAATTCCAGTAATAGCAGGACAGGCACTCTCCTTTGGGTTTTATAGTAGGAAAATTTTAATCAACATTTTTATAGTGATAAAAATAATCTCAAAGTGTAGAGGGGAATAAGGCTGCTCTCGTACAGGCCCTTGTGAAGTAGGGAAGGTAAACGGACTAAGACCTAAGGAGGCTGAGTGATAGGCTGAGCTGTAGCAGGCCGTGTTGGTATTAAAGCACCTCTGGAGGGCTGGGGACTCAGCGCAGTGGCTCTGCCGCCTGCCTCGCAAGCACAAGGTCCGGAGTTCAATCCCCGGTACCAAAAAACAAAACAAACAACAACAAATAAAGCACACCTCTGGAATTCTCTCCGAGAGCTTTCACCCCATTCCAAATGTTCCCTGCTCATGATGCAATGTGTTTCAAGATTCTTACAACTGCTCAGACCTCAGTTCCAGCTACTCTGTTTCAGGGACTCGGAGGATCTGAGGGGAACGTGGGCATATCTTTACACACACACAACGTTACATCAGTGTTACGACAGCTAATCCTAGATTTCTGGATTCACAGGAAGTAAGCAAACCATGTAAGGCATAGTCTAGCCTTTTAAGCTCTTTAGTAGGAGCGTATTTGGAAATGTGCTTGATAGGATATTAAATGAGAAGAACAGGACATAAAATATTGCGGGTAAAATAATTACAACTGTTTTTAAAAAGATAAATGCTGTTTTTCCCTGAAAATAAGACCCAGCTGGAAAATAATCGACCTTGAAGCTCGAGATCGAAATGCCAGCCACATCAGCCTGTCTCTGCCTTGCCCGCCTTACTGAGCAGCCACGGGCAAGGGAACAGTGGTGGCAGGGAAGGGAAGGTCAGGACAGGCTGATGCCGCTGGCATTCTGAGCTCTAGTTTCAAGGCTGACTACTGTCAGGCTGGGTCTTATTTTGGGAGAAAGAGGGTTAATCCTGGGGAAAGATCATACAAATGCTGACAATGCGAGGGAAAATCATTCTCAAGGTCAATCTCAGTATCGCCAAAATATATCCAGCAGCGTCCGAGGAAGACCTGCAGAAGGCCAGTAAGCTCCTCAGGATGGAGCGCAAATCAGAGCCGTAAGGGCACACCGCCGCGCACACACTGACACACAATCATCCTGGAAAGTAATCAGCGCTGGCAAGGACAGGAGCCATGGGCCGCTCACGCCCGATGGAAACACCGCGTTCTCCAGGCGCTGTGGAAACGGCTTGGTGGGTAAATCCAGGGGTTCTCCCCTGGTGTTATGAAACTGAGGTCAGGGAGGGGAGCAGTGTTGGGGGCTGTTCATGGAGGGAGAGGGTGGAGGTGGCCACAATCCCCACACTGGACTCCCCGAGTCCCTGTGCCACCTGCCTGGGCACAGGTGATGGCTGCACCAGAGCCAAAGCCCAGTGGAAAAGGGCTCAAGCCCAGGTTTCCTCAGTGACAGGACCCAATGCCAATTCTGGGGAACTAAAGTCTCACAGCTAAGCACCCCCAGGCTGCGGTCAGGGCCAAACCACCTTAGGACGGTTCAACTCATACATGCACCAACAAAGCACATTCCACGCAGTGGAGAATTACTCAGCCCTAAAAATTAGAAACAGGACCAAGGTTTTACAAAATAGGGTCCACCACCTATCGTTGCTATTGTAAACAATGGCAAAATCGTTCAAACTCCCTAAATGTTACCCAAGGGGACTCGGTTAAGGAATGAGGGTATAAGTTGGAGTGCTAGAGTTACTAGACATTCCAGAAGGGTTTAATGACAGAGTCCTATTGTGACTCAAAAGGAAAAAACAAACCACCCATTTGTGTGTATTCTACGCAGTTACAGAGAAAAAGAAACCAAAGGGGTAACGGTGGCTCGCTCTGGGTGACATTATGCGTGACCAGTTTGTTCAATAAAATAGAAGTGCTAATAATTCTCCAGCAAGCATTTTACACTGTTCTCATTCTGAATGTCATGAAACCATGGGGTTTTCATAGGTACCTGAGGAAGGCTAAGTAACTCTTTCAGTTACACAGCTGAGAAGAGGGAGCTGGCTGGACGCAGACCCAGGGACCGTGGCTCCATGGAACAGATCTCAGCCTCTACACTAAAGGGTCTTTTTGTGTAATTCCCAATTATCTATGATCACATTTGGTGATGTAAGAGGAGTTGTTTAACAAAATCCTCAATGTAACTGTACATTTTAACACTCATCATTGCGGGATGGAATATGGGTACTTAGAAATTCTCCTGATTGCCTTGGCTTTTGCAATTTCCTTTAACAAATATGCACTGATTTGAAAAGAAAACTGTCAAGGCTGGGTATGGCGGCGCACGCCTATAATCCCAGTACTCGGGAGGCTGAGGCAGGAGGATCACTGTGAGTTCGAGACCAGTCTGAGTTACATAGTGAGTTCCAGGTCAGTCTCAACTAGTGAGACCCTGTCTCAAAAAACCAAAAAAAAGAAAAAAAGTCAAGGGTACATCAGAGCGGCATCTACCCATGGGACTCAGGCTCCTACATGCGTGGTCTGGAACAAGAGAGGAGAGAGGAGGG